GCAAAGGGAAAAGATCAATTAATATACAGATACATTTAGATTACCACCTAGAAGTGACCTAACATCTGGAAAAGGATTGTAGGATTGTAAATAGCTATTATAAATGATATATGGATAAGGTTGTGATGACAAAAAAAATATGTAAAATACAAAATGCTCTGTTCCTTCCAAAGTACAAGCTTACCAAGGAATTAGAATTGTAAATTGTAGATCTTTTAAGGTAAAAGGGTTCTCTGTAAATATTTATCTTATATGTGTTTCTGCTTTCACGGCCTTATTGATCAAATCCACAGGGATGGTTACAGCATTCAAGATGCGGACACAGTAAGGGCAGAAAAGGGTAGGGGACAGTGGGAGGAGTCGGGTGACGAAAAGAGAGAGAGCTAAATTAGAACCTTCCATTATCACATTCTAGAGTTTGGTCTAACTGCTGGAGTGTTTGGTGCGCTCTCATGAGCTAAACCACAAAGCACACACTTGACAAAAGACAGTGAAGCCGCCATTTCTAACACTCTCCATTGATACAGCCCAAACTACCTGAGATCGATCTTCAGAACCCAACCATAGAAAGTCAAGCGACTAAATCCCCCAGTTGGTTTTATTTTTACACATATTCATCTACTGAGCTAGTTTGTTTTTTTTTTTTTTTTTTCCAAAACCACAGTTGTCTGACTTCACTGCTTTGTTTTGAATTGGGAGACCAGCTCAGTATGTAGCCAGTCTGCCCACAACTTGCCATCCTTTTGTGTCAGCCTCCCGGATGTTAGTGTTATAGATACGCATCGCCATGTCCAGATCGTCTGGCCAGTTTTCAATCTTAACATCTAGGAATTTCATATTTTATTTTTGCTGTTTTTCCTTAGAAGTTCCAGCTCAGTATCCAAAACTAAAAATAAAAAAAAGAATCTTAAGCATATGCTACACTATTTTTTTTTTAATCCTTTAACTAGACCTGCAAAATGGTTATGGTTGGATCATTACTGCCCAAAATACTTAAGACAAGTATCAGAGAAAGAAGCAATCCCAGGCTGATGCCAACTCCCATTTTCCCAGTGCTAACCCCATTCTCCCAGCCACTACCCAGTGCCATGGCTGAATAGCTGTGCTAATCACTGCATTGTTATCACCTTCAGCAGCACCACCACCCCCCAGTAATTCTGATAATGAAAGCCTAGTCTGTGCACAGAGCTCTGGACCCCCTCAGTAGAGAGTTCTTTTTTGGTAAACATTAACTGCTGACTCGCGACTCGTGTGATTGTCAGTTCTCCTCTATCAGCCACCCAAATCACACGGCTTTATTCACAAACTTATCATATCCATTAAAATATTCTGCAGTTTTGGAAAATAAAGCACCCATAGTATTCTCTTTATCTGCTAACATCTGCATTTCCCATCGGTTTTATTTTCTTCTTAAGGCATGTCCTTGGGCTAGAGAGAGAGCTCAGTGGGTAAAGTGCTCGCCTACATATACTTATGAACCTGAGTTTGGTCCTCAGTGCCCAGGTAAAAAGCCAGGCATGTCTCTGTATGCCTCTGTAACTCCAATACAGATGGTGGAGGCAGGTGGAACCCAGGGGCTCGGTGCCCAGATAATTTAGTTAAAACTGTGAACTCCAGGTTAAATGAAGAGATCCTGTCTCAGAAAATGAGGCAGAAAAGTGACTGAAGAAAACATGCCGATGTCAACTTCTGGTCTCCACATGCACAAACAAGACAAGCACACACAGAGAGACACACAGAAACGCGAGAGCACACAAGAACACACTCGCATGCACAGATACACCACACACGGATTTAAGACAAATTCCCTCCCACACGTTATTGTCTACCTCATTAAATGATGCACTACATATAGTTAACATGATCTAAATGTGGGACCCCCCCATGTCAGATGGCTCATGGGTCTCTCGTTTCCTAGGGACTGTTCAAATCTCAGTTCCAAGAACCCAAAAATCTCAAGAAATCAATACTCCTACTCCAGATTATATAAATATTGTACATCTGTGCATTTTGCTCTGAAACATACCCAGAGGTTTTCATATAGAGTCTCAAAAGAATTATTTAATGCCCATTTTTATGTATAAAATCTCCCAAAATATCTGTATAAAATGCTTTGTCACTTACTAACCATCGTCCCGTTTTGTTTTGTTTATCTTTTTTTCTCTCACACCAGTCTTTTAAAGCATTTGTTTAATTACTCTATTTGGTTGTAATTTATTTTCTACCTCACCAAACTCCCAAGTTCCAATGACAGGGAAACCATGATCTTGCTGTAATGGTAACAGCCTAGACCCCTCTCCACTCCAGCCCACTTGTTACCATCAGCTAGGGAAGTCATTGTCCTCCAGGATCTATTAATTACTCTATAAATGTCTGAACTAATGGGTAAATAGTGTAATAAAATTGTTTTGCCTGTTTATCCCTATTGTATTATTTGTAAATGTGTGTAGACATCACCTTTCTTGGACTTAACAGTGGATGATAGCACATGTTCCTAAGGAAGGGCTGGTATAAACTTGGTTCTATTTGAGGAAGTGTGAACTGCACAAGTAGCTCATCCCTAATTCCTTTCTTTAAAACTTAGCAACCCCATGGTCCCAGATGTACACACTTTAGTTAGCCCCAATTGTTTTCTTGCCACAAATGACCAAATAATTACCCACTCAGGAAACAAAATAATATAGTCCTCAGAATCTAAATTTTGAATTCACACATACTTCACTATCAATCTCAAAATTTTTTGCATATTAGCTAGGCATGACTGAGCAAGTTGTAGAAATTCTTTGAATATTCGTCCTGTGTTAATTGGTTTACTGTTATTGTGGCAAACATAACAGTAGGAATTCAACATAGGGCTGGAGAGATGGCTCAGTGGTTAAAAGCACTGATTGCTCTTCCAGAAGACCCAAGTTCAATTTCCAGCACCCACATGGCAGCTCATAATTGTCTCTAAATCTAGTTCAAGGGATCTGACACCCTCATACAGACATGCATGAAGGCAAATCACACATTCCATGAAATAAAAATATAAGTTTTTTTAAAAAAAATATCCAATTTAAAAGGAAGAAAAGTGTATTTGGAGTCACAGTTCCTTGGCCCTGTATTCTAGGCCTATGGTGGCATAATATATCATGTCAAAAATGTGTATGTAATAGAGGAGACACATTCACTTTATGGTGACCAGAGAACAAAGAGTTATACAGGAAAGAGTTCAAGTCTCCATGTTTCCTTTAAGAGCATACTTCCAAGAACCTAAATTCCTTCCATGTGACTCCCATTTCCTAGATGCCCCACCATTTCTTGGCAGTGTTGAAGGCTGGAAACCATGGCTGAAACACACAGGTGGTCTGCCCAATAAATATCATGCTTATTACTTACACAAGGCACATAGTAAATGGGAAGTAAATAGCAGTGACAGAGGTCCTTACTGGTGTGAGTGATAATGGTGATGGTGGTGATGCTGTTGACTATGAAAATAATGATAACTGCACACTGAACTCCAGGAAAAAAAAGACCATGTTTAACTTATCTTGAGCATCCTCAGTATCTACTGCATGATACATCATACCAATAAATATTTGTACATCATATTTGTTAAACTGATGGTCCATGGGGTCTGGAGAGATGGCTCAGAGGTTAAAAACACTGGCTGCCTCTTCCAGAGGTCCTGAGTTCAATTCCCAGCAATCAAATGGTGGCTCACAACCATCTGTAATAAGATCTGATGCCCTCTTCTGGCACACAGGTGTAGATGCAGAGCACTCATACGTAAAATATAAATAAGTAAAATTTTAAAAGATTGAGGGCCTACTACCAAGTACAAGATATTAAGAGCTGAACAAAGATAGAAAAAAACTGGGGGTGGGGGAGTGTCATGAGCTAGAATGAGCAGGAAAGGTCATGTCCAGGGGGAAGACATATAAAGGATGGGATTTACATCAATGCATGTATCCTATGCCAGAAGAGTAATAACATCTTTGTTTGGTAGAAAGGAGAAGTATCAAGGTGTAACATAGATACCATGTTCAGTACCATGCCTAGAAGCTAATCACAAAGGCAACAAACTAAACTTTATGCTTTTGAAGTGTTGCAGCAAATCTTTGTAGTTAAGTGTTTCTTGTAGACCAGCCACACAGCGTGTGATGATAAGGATACAAGCTTTACAGGAAAGCAAATCTAGATTTGGATTCTTGTTTTACTGCTTGAATAACTGTATTATCTTGGAAAAGGCCCTTTAAACTTTGGCTTCCTCTTCTGTAAAATATGTCTCTCCCTGCCTGTCCCACAAGCTGAGGGGAAGGTGGGGTGAAGGGAGGGAGGCGTATGTTGCCTCTCCTGGCACACAGCAGGTGTTCAGTGAACACAAAGACCCTGGTAGTGTCAAGGGTGTGCTGCATTCTTTTGTCTGTGTGGAGTCAACTTGTATCGTTTTGGTAGCATTTGTTTTAGGCAAGGATCTTGACCTTGTTGAGCCTAGGAGCAACTGTGCTTTTGAAAAATGGAAATAATGCAGAAAAGAGCTGTGAGTTATGTAACACCACATGACTATCTCTTCCAAATGAAGGAATGCAGGTTTTCAAGCTGAGCATTTGATTGGGTGGAATGCTCTAGTGGGAAATAGGAAACTAACCCTTCTCTCTACTAACCACCTGCTGCACAAACTGTCATGCAAATACTGCCTCATGCTTTATGCGGAACGTTTATAAACCCCTGTGACTTTGTTCTTCGCTTGGATTTTCTTCCGTAGTCAATGAATCAGTGTCAAGTGTATTTGTCTATAAACCAGCCAAATATTTTCTTTAAATACTTGTGCTTTCATTGAACACACAGCTACTGTGTAATCACGTCTTTTTTTTTTTTGTTTTGTTTTGTTTTGTTTTGTTTAGAAAAAAAAAAAAAAAGACCCTTTCCCTTCCCCAGTCCCTTAGTGATCGCTAGTTCCATGTAAGCATGCCTTTTACATAAGCCCCAAATAAAAGGAAGCATTTCATCTCCTACAGGTTCTTCCAGGGGACCCAGCCCTCTAACTATGGGGGCCCAGGACACCCTCCCAGTTGCAGCAGCATTCACAGAAACTGTCAACGCCTACTTCAAAGGAGCAGACCCAAGCAAGTAAGCCTGAGATAAGGGCCTGGTGCTCTTGAAGCCCTGTCCTATGGAGTTGTGGGGGCGGGGTGGGGTGGGGTGGACATTAAACATAAACTATCTTACCTTCTGAGAAAGAGCTCCGTGGAGAAGTGGATCAGATCCATAAATTCCACTAATTCTCTGAAATTTTATTACATTTTCTTTTCTCTGTTAAGACACTCTCACAATGCAGCCCTGGCCGTCTGCAGCTGACTATGTAGAGCAGGTTGACTTGAACTCACAGAGATCCGACTGACTCTACCTCCCACATGATGGCTTTAAAGACACAAACCACATCTTATGGGTACCTTTCTTTTTCACAGAGAGATAGGCAGTCTTCAACACTCAGTAACAAAGGGAATCCAAACCATGTTAATCCACCCTGCACACCAGACACCCGCACCACACTACTGCCAAGTGTATAGCTGGTTTAAATCTAGGCCTGCATTCTATCAATAAACAAAAGGAAACCTAAGTGATGGATAGACTGCTCTTAGTTCTTTATTCACTCATAAGAACAGGGCTTAGAAAACCTTAGTCTAGCACGAGAGAAATGGGAAGTACCGGGTGTGCTTATGTATTACGGATCCTACTAAGCAGTAAGAACTGAACATAATTGGAGCGACACACTTTAGGTGGGAATTCACATGACAAAGTGTGAGTCCTCTTTCCCCTTCAGAAACACTGTTTCTAAAAGTCTTCCTCTACTAATACTATTCTGAAGAACCAATAGAATTAGTAACTCCAGCCCCAAAGCATCCTACCCAGTCACCGGGTCTTTATTCTTGCTGGCTGTCATGGCTCTTTCAACAAGAACTAGGATTTATTCTAGGTCCATAATAATATATTGAAACAAACACTATAGCCTGGGGTTGATCCAGAGAGGTGAGACATGAAGGAAAGAGAGAAGGTGGGAGAAAGTGGAGAGAGGCTCATATGGAACACATAAACACTGTCCGCTTAAGCTGAAAAACACTACAAACATGTTAGTCCTGTAGACTTGTTAGAACAAAGAATATGTACACCTGCCTGCTATGTGAGTGAGAAGAATCACTCAGCACTGGCCGATCAGTTCCTTAAACACTGAGCTGATAAGAACTGAGAAAAACAGAAGCATATTTACTTAAAAAAATTAATAGGAATGTGGCGAGAACACGTACACTGTGGTGGGAAATCGCGGGAGACTCACACAGCCATCCTCTTCTCTTTGCTCCCTAGCGGGCTTTCGTTCATTCACTCACTAGTATATTTAGAGATGTAATTGGTCTCCCCAGCTTCCTCTGAAGTCCATCCTGGTCATGGCACTGATTCCCATGCTCCAAACTCTCATCTGTTTACAGGAGAGACACTCCCCAGGGTTCTGTGAGGTTCTGGGTGCTCTGTGCTCTATTGGTGGAGGACTTCCAGCCACACCCCTCATCTAACAGGGTTTACTCCCGCCTCCCTTGTCTACCCTCCTACCTCTTCAATACTCTCCACTTAAGCCTGTAGCCATTTCCCTTCTGTTCCCCATCCCACCTCCCACAGCCCCTCTCCTTCTCTTTAGTGAAGCTTTCATCCATGTATCTGAGCAATTTGTCCCCTCACTTCCGTTCTTCAACAAATTCACCAACAGAACTTCTCACTCAGCCTGCAGAAAGTAGCACCCCTCCCCCTCCAACCTCGCCACCCTTCCTACCTCACTTCCTCTTCAGCTGTCCTCTCCAACACCTCACACATACTTTTTATGTCTACTCTCCCCGTCCACTGGAATGGAGGCTCTAACAGCTGGATTTTGGCTCTTTTCTCCATTGTTGCATCTTTAGCACCAAAACAAGGCTCAAGGTGCTCAATCTAAGTTCTACAGAATGGTTACTCTGAACAGACCATTGAACTAGACAGGAGGCACACAGGTGAAGACAACTAGGATGGGAACTAATACTTGTGTAACGAGTAAGGTTTTTCCTGCCGACCTGGTCCCACAGCCGCGCCACCCCAAATATCACACAGAGACTCTGTATTTGATATAATGCTTTTGGCCAGTTATTTGTTTCTTATTGGCTAGCTCTGTCTTAAGTATGAACCCATTTCCATTAATCTAAGTATTTCCACGTGGTCTCATCTTACCAGGGAGTGGGGCCGGCGTCTGGTCACCCCAGTCTCTCCATGCTGATTCCTCCTTACTACTTCCTCGAATCCTTCTTGTCTCCTAGTCCCACTTATTTTGCTTTCCTATTGGCCAACAGTGCTTTATTCATTAACCAGTATGAGAAACAGAATGACATCTCCCATCAGACTCCCTCATCTAAGTTCTACAGAATGGTTACTCTGAACTGACCATTGAACTAGACAGGAGGCACACAGGTGGAGACATCTAAGATGGGAACTAAAACTTGCATGTGGAAGTAATCCAATGTCTTATAGAAAAGGTGCAAATACAATGTTATGTTTTGACATACAATTTTCTAAAAAAATAAAAATAATAAATAAAATAAAATCTGTCCATATATCCAACCTAGAAAAGGGTGAAGTAAGGAGGTGGAATGATGATGACAGTAAAGAAGGCTTCAGAAAGGGTCATTTGAACTGAGTGGTGTGGTGGGGGAGGGAAGATTGTTCATGGTCTATAAGCCTCAGGAGGTTGACTAAATAAGCAACTCAAGCTCCTGCACACGGAGCATGCTCATGAAAAAGCTCTGTGCTCAGTGTCAACAGAATGGTACAGTCACATGGGAGCGATGCCCTCCCCGTGCCCTCCCCTAATTCAAAGTCCACTAGGAACTAACTGGCTTCATATTCTGTAGCCCAGAACTGGAGAATTCATTGCTACCTGTGACAAGAGGGAAAGCCCAATGTGTAAGTCAGATGCCACTTGATTGGAAATTTCTTCATTCTTTGTAAATGCTTCATTTGTGAGGATTTACATGGCCCCAGGCTTTATTCAAAAATCGATTTCTAATTCTGTTTCACTTTAAGCTTTGTTAATCTGGATTCAAATCACACATTGACATTCACATCAAATTCTGGTAGGAACAATCATTCAGGTCAAAAATATTTTCCTAAAGAAAGAAAACCGTGTCAAACAGACACGGAACTCAGTAATCTAAAAATACAATAATTTCAAATTTTCATTTAGAGAGTATGGAGATTAAGCGAACTCCTTACACTGTCTCTTCTGCGCCCTCTACTGACAAAACTTTACCTGATGCTGTAAGCAAAGAGAATTTTTTTTTTTTTTTTTTAATTCAAAGTCTCCCAGGTAAAATAGAGTGGGTTGGAATTGAAAGCTTATAAATTGAGTTTGTGCCGAAGTTGATGCTGTGAACCTGCATTCTGTTTGGACCCATTCCTGAAACAACTTTGAAAAAGAACGAAGTTGGGGACTAGTAGGATGGCTCACAGCAGTAAAGGCACCTTTGCCAAATCTGATCATCTGAGCTCTATCTCCCAGAAAACCGTGTGGTGAAAGAACACAACCAACTCCGCAAGTTGGCTTCTGCCCTCCATGCATGCTCCATAGTAAGAGCACTCAAGGGCGGGCACACGCACGCGCACGCACACACACACACACACACACACTTATCAATTAATTAAATCTTTTTTTAAAGACCTTAAGATTCTTAGACATTCTTCAAAGCCAAGTTAAAGCAGGATCTCACAACTCACCAAATAGTTGAAGACAGATTCTGCGCAGCGTTAGTGAGGGTGTGGAAATGCTGAGATACTCACGAGCCCACACTGCTGTATTTTCCATTGTAGAAAGAAGAAAGGAAAGAGAGGTAAGGAAGGAGGGAAAGAAAGAAGAATGAAACACACAGACAGGGGGCAAGACAAAGAAAGAAAAACGGGAAGTCGGGCTATTTCATTAAAAGTTAAAGGCATCCCCAGCACAGGACCTGGCGATCCCTCATACCTAGCAAGAAAAGTTAGAGCCACACCCACTCAAAGACGACCACACCTTTGTAACAGGTGAAGATTGGGAGGAACTCTAATATTCTTTGATGGGTGAATTGACTTATTATTTTTAAAATAGGATATCCATTCAGCAAAAGAAAAACTAATTAACTACTGATGCACAGTGTTTCGTGGATAAATCTGAAAATAATGCCTCTAGGGAACAAAGTCTCACCGCATCCCCAACCACATATCTATTATATTATATTATAAAAAGTGCAAAACAATGAAGAGCGATGAAAGCACATAGCAGGACCCTAGGATCGAGGACTGTAAAACTGGGCCAAAGGGATTTCAGAGGGACAGGAAGACATGGAAGACAATGGAAACATGGATCCTGGTTATATATTGATTTTTATATCATTGAAATGTATGAAATTTTGTATTATAAGTATCTACACTTTATCATCTTCCTACCTCTATGAAGCCTTTTAAAATGATTATTCTTCCTTCTGAACTATCATCTTACCATGTGTTAATTTCTATGGCTAATTTAATTGTGACAAAATAGGCAAAATAATGGACTAAAGAACTAATAAAGTAGGGGAGAACTTCGCCTGGGAGTACATAAAAGAAACTGACCACACTACGTTTTCAGGCCAGTTTTTTTCTTTTTGACTTTTTAGTAGACAGGTATATGTCCTTTCCAAAACATTCAAAATGGTAAGTTCAAACTTCTAGTTCTTAAAATTTCCCATTACAGAAACATATTTTACATTTCCTTACAACTACGGCTCTTTTTAAAAAATCAGTTCTCTAATTCTCAGGTAAGCTAGAAATGACTTGGTGGTTGGGAGTATAATTGTAACTGCTTGTCCTTTACTCTGGGTATTTCGCATTGTCATTCAAACCCACCACTGCTTTGCATCCCAGGATACTGATCCTGTCTCTGAACTTTCCTCTCATGTGTTTGGTATTCCAGATGCATTGTCAAGATTACAGGAGAAATGGTACTGTCCTTCCCCGCTGGCATCACCAGACACTTTGCCAACAACCCATCCCCAGCTGCTCTGACTTTTCGGGTGATAAATTCCAGCAGGTTAGAGCATGTCCTGCCGAACCCCCAACTTCTCTGCTGGTAAATATGATTTCTGCATACAGTCTTAAAGAGATGATTGCCTTGGCACCCTGTCTCTGCAGATATGCATGTAGATTTGACACCCAGACTCCGGGCCCGTGTGTTTGCTATCAAGTTTTCTATCTGTGGTGCTGTGTAAATGCCTAGCTGTGTATGCATTTGTGTGTTCTAATTCACAGCTTCTAAAGGAGTTAAAGAGGCATTTAAGGAAACTCCATATCGCTGACAATGTATAGCTCCTGTTTCACTTCTTACTAATAAATAGTTGTTAAGAACAGTAGGCAATGAGCCCAATAATAGAAAACCTTCTTGTTGTATGAACACCCTTTTAAATGAAATAATATTGGAATTGTGGGCTATTCTTCCATGTAAATTTGAAAACCTTTCCTGTGAAACATATGATTTTACTATAATGGTCCTTTTTATGGGTATCACACCAGGGAAGATAATGTGAATTAGTTTCTGTATGTGCACACCGTCTCATTTCAAACCTGAAACAATGCCTTTATTAGGCATGTGCACGTGTGTACTGGTTTGTGGTGGAGGTGAGAAAAGGAATCATTCTTGACAGCTTCCTTTCCATCATAAAGTATGGATAGGAAGATTCTCTCTAGAAGTCTCTCTGAAAAGTACCCACACTCTTCCTTTTCAGCATCTTTCCTTGAGTTAGTACCAACATCATGTCCCTGGACTGTGGCAATAACAAGTGCTTCCTTCCCTGATTCCAATCTGGTCCTGCTCCAATACTTTTTACAGCCAATGACCTTTATGAGATTGCTCTTTGCTCACAGCTGATCAGTGGCATTGCATGACAAATGCCCCAGAATTTCAACTTGCTGCAATTGGCTTTGAGCATCTACCAAAATCTGTGTGTATGTTCTCCTTATTAGTCCTTCCTTATCAAAAATGAGTGATGTCCTGCCCCACACCATGGCATGGTACATTGACTTCCCCTTGTTCTACTACTATCCACCCCTTCTTCCTATGACACCCACTTCCTCTCAGCTCCTCTGTCTCCCCGTCCATCCCCTGCCATCTTCAGCCCCACCAACCATCCCCTTGCCATTCTCCTGGAAGGCCCCCATCCTTTTCACTAAAAACGTCCAATCTATCTGTTTATGTGTCATCCTGTCCGCATGAGATAGCATTATCCAGCACCATGGAACCCAGCTGGTCCTTCATCATGGATGAAGAAGCAGCTGCAGTGTAGATCAGGCAAGTGGTCATTAAATAGGCTGCTGAGCACCAGCTGTCAGGAATGCTAAGGTTTTTAGAGAGTCAAGACTGTATCCTACTGTAAGTAACTGTGACTATCACTGTAAACTCCAAGACTGTCTTTATGTGAATCCAGGTTTTTATTTAGATGCTCTTAGACAAAATCCTTGAACTTTTAACCCTGTTGCCTCAGCCTACTCAAAGTTGGGATTACCAGTGTGCACCTCCAAGTCTTTTAACTGGTTAAATCCTGAAAATTACTATGTTATGTCAGTTCAAAGGGAAATCAATTTATTTCCCCTTAATTGCATTGGCTGATTAGACAGAACTGAGATAGTATAGGGAGAACTATTGAGTATGGATAAGGAGGTAGTTATCACTTCAAAGGTCCCAGTGGTCATTCTACTGAGTTAATAGACAGGAGCTCACAGGAATGTTTGGCTGCAGAGCAGAGCCTCCTTGTGGATACTGGGTGGCTTATGGGACACCACACCAAACTGCACTGTGCTAAAACCACCCTGGGGATGCTCTCGTGTTCTGGTTGTCATAGGCAATAGAGAAATCAGAGACCGTCTGCTGAGACACTTCTTGTGCACATGAGGTGTCAATGAGACGCTGTTCAATCACTGATTTTCTTTCTATCTTAATAGTGATAATACACAAAATGATGCCAATACCAAGGAATTCTGGGTAAACATGCCAAATTTGATGACTCACCTAAAGAAAGTCTCTGAACAAAAACCCCAGGCTACATATTATAATGTGGACATGCTCAAGTATCAGGTAAGCCTATTGTATGGTCAGGGTACTCTTGTTTCACATTACAAATTTACATTCTGAAGTGCCTACTGTTGCATAAAAGTAACATTTCTTTTAATATTATGGAAGTGCTGTGATTATGAAAAATTGAAGCCTTAAAGAATCGTGTGGGAACTAGTGAGAAGAATATTCATCATACACCCATAAATACAAAGTGAGGTGTTTCATTTTTAAATTATAGAAACACGCATGCACTTAATTAAGATTATAAGGGTTGGGGCTGGAAAAATATATCAGAGGTTAAAAGCTGCTGAAAGCACTTATTGCTCTTGGAGAAGACATGGCTTCAGTTCCCAGCCCCACATTGTGATTGCAACTCCATGGTGGCCCATGACTCCAGTGCAAAGGCCATCTTCTCACCTCTGCTGGCTCCTGCATACACGAGGTGTACACAAATCCACACAGGCACACACATACACATACAAATAATAAATAAATCTATTTTTAAATATCACTGGTTGGTAGTAAGTTAGGTCAGCATAATCACAGTAAGAGCACAAGTGTTCTAATACTTTTAAGTGGTTGGGTATAAATAACCAGTATTTTTTTTTCTAGTGTGATAGCCTCATGAAATAGTTCTAAAGAAACTTTTGCTAAGAAATAATTCAATGATTACGCTAATGAAAATTTTTTGTTGGTTTTTATTTATTTTTAATAATTTACTTTTTTATATTCCAATCCCAGTTCCCCCTCCCTCCTCTCCTCCCGACCCCTCCCCAACTTCCCCTCACACACACCTCCCATCTGCTCCTTGGAGAGCCAATCACAGCCTCTGGTTCGGTTTTATATTAACAGTTGAGACTTATACCTTCTCTTTCCCGTCCTTTGGCAAGGTGTCTGCCCAGGGCATTCAGTCGACACCTCTGAACTTGGCAGTGAACTGGCGGTGTGAACCTGCGAGCACTGACCTGCGCATAGATTATAAGTACAACACGGATGCCATGACCACCGCAGTGGCCCTTAACAATGTGCAGTTCCTGGTCCCCATAGATGGAGGAGTGACCAAGCTCCAGGCCGTGCTTCCTCCAGCAGTCTGGTAAAACAGCTTCTCGTCCCCTCTCTGCTCCATAAAAGGGCTCCTTCTTGTTAAAGTTCTGCAGACTTTATAGTGCCAGAGTTTACTGTGGGAAGAGACCTCAGCAAGCCTGCCAGGGGAGCAGGGAAATCAATTTTTCTACTAGTAACAGCAAAATAAAGAATACTTCTTTAAAATTAATGTGAGCTAGCCAGTGACTACAATGGAAATCGCCTAAACTAGGTGATTAACAAATACTTTGCATCTATTTTCTGTGTAGATGTGCTCTAAACACTGTGTTGCCCTCTGTTTATCTCACATTGCTGTGGCTGGTCAGAATAAGGAAAAGGGAGAACATTTATTCGTGTAGGGGACATATGTAGTTACTGAGAGCTAACCTTTTTGAGACCCACTTTATTTTAATTCACATCATCTGGAAATGTGACATCTTTACAGAAATCCTCGGTATGTGAAAAAGCCCTTTGTTTTACTTTTAGGAATGCTGAACAGCAAAGAATATTGTGGAAAATTCCTGATATCTCCCAGAAGTCAGAAAACGGAGGTAATGTAATCACAGGCTTAAATCTGAGATAACTTACAGGTGTTGCCAACTATGACCCCGAATCCATGTAGCCCTAGAAACAAGCAGAACTGTTTTTAGTTATTAACCTCCATAAAAGCAAGTGGCTTTCAGTGGACCTTCCTCTTTGGTGTCCCACCAAGACCTCACCGTATATAGTTTAGACGGTGGCAGAGAAGAACCCTTCAGGAGGCATGTGTCCATCCAGTGCCAGAGCCCATGTAGATATCTTTTTTTTCCTCTGATGTCAATCACCAGTTGAGAAGGATGTAGCCCTCCTTGGGGCATGTGCAAATTTTAAAGTACCACGCTCTTGACATATTTCTTTTTTTTTTTTTTTTTTTTTGTTTTGTTTTTTGTTTTGTTTTGCTTTGCTTTGTTTTATTTTGTTTTGGTATGGTTTGGGTTTTTTTTTTTTTTTTGGTATTGTTTTGTTTGTTTTTTCCGACACAAGGTTTCCCTGTATTGCTTTGAAGCCTGTCCTGGGACACACTCTGTTGACCAGGCTGGCCTCAAACTCACAAAGATTTGCCTGCTTCTGCCTCCCTAGTGCTGGGATTAAAAGCGTGCCCCACCAACGCCCTGCATCTCCTGACATATTTAAACAAGTTACACATAGTACTCAAGGATGCTTTTACTCACCATCATTTTGTAGCTGAAGAATGTACTGCTCTCTAGGCTGCCCAATTTTGCACAGTTAATCTCAAAAGCAATTTCAAACTTATCTGCAAAGTGACACTAGGAACTGCTATCTTGCAATGATGCTCTTCTTTTAAAGGTGTAGGATCTTTACTGGCAAGATTTCAGTTATCTGACGGCCCAAGCAAACCCTCCCCATTGGTTGTGCAGTTCACAAGTGAAGGAAGCACACTGTCTGGCTGTGACATTGAGCTTGTTGGAGCAGGGTACCGGTTTTCACTCATCAAGAAGAGGTTTGCTGCAGGTAAATGGGTAGCTTTGGTTTCATTGGCAGAAATAACGTTGCTACCCCTCCTCAAGCAGGAACCAAGTATGGTTTCTCATCCTCTGCTCTCTCATTCCTATCCCCATGTCCCATTAGAAAACAAACCCATATTTGAATAAAGTACAGATGAACTGGCAACCCAAATGGGAAGACTCTGGCTGCATATGCTGGGTCTGTTTATTTCAGACTGAGCCATCATCCCCATAAGGTTGATCTATATATTGAAGCCAGTGGGATAAGTCCTGCTGCTGCATTGCTGAAGAAGACTGACACTCTTGGGTTTGACTTTCTCTCCTACCTGAAAACATGTTTTTAGGGTTTTTTTGGGTTTTTTGTTGTTGTTGTTGTTGTTTTTAAGCGGGAGAAAGCATAAAAATGTGTGACATGCCAAAGGCATTGGGGGCATTAGATTCCTTGGAAGATGTTTGTTCAACAACTGTACTTCCTGAATTTTAGAATTGTCGGGCTAAGCTGAGATCTAGGAAGATCTGCTGTTGGACTTTAAAAGCAACCTTTAACCTATCTGTGGCCAGATGGCTCATCAGATCAAAGGCACTGGCCACACAAATCGGCAACGTGGATTAAGTCCCAAAAATCCACTTACAAGTAAAAGGAAAGAACTAATTTAGAACACAGTTGTCCTCTGACCTCCACACACATACACACTCACACACACATCATGTATATACATGCAATGATATTTAAAAAAAAATAGGAATATGTGTAGTTTTGAGCTGGTGAGGTGAATCAATGGATGGAGGTACTTGCCACCAAGCCTGATAACCTGAACTAGACTCCTTAGAACCAGATGATGGAAGAAGAGAACAGCTCCTACAAGTTGTCTCTAACTCCCATACATCTGCCAAGGTGAGTATATACTCACATATATACTGTCGCTCAATGAAAGAAAGAATACGAGAGACGTGGGGTGAAATTAAAACATCTAGTCTACAGATACACACTGTTTGCCCAGGAATTGAGCATGGCACAAATAATAGAATTTTGATGGAGAGCCAGGCCTCCCTGATAATACAGTGATTGCCCATGTCAGTGGCTTGCTGGGGTAAACCCAGAGTCTTCCACACATGATACAACCATATTACCACTGCCCCCCCTTCCTCTGTCTCTGAGTCCTGGTTTTTTACACCTGCTATTCTGATGTAATTATTAATTTTACTCCTTTCCCTCTCAAATGAACTAAGTCAGAAATAAATATGAACAGCTTCCCATACTCAGAGACAAATCCCAGATCCACCTGGGCAGGATCCAGCATGTTCATCAAACTGTCTACAAAAGCAGCAATGGTGACCCTTGATGTGCAGAACTAAGAAACCTGAAAACTTCTTCATAGGAGTACAGCACCCCAAACATGCAGTGTTCGGTTCTGAGGGGCAGGGCAGGAGGAATAGACTAGATCATCATACCATTGAGCCTACCGATAACATTTTGATTTGTGATTTTGCTTTGCAGGAAAATACTTGGCAGATAACTAATAAAATCTCATGCAAGGATTTGGAAGATCCATGACCTGGAGAACTGTTGTATGAGAGATGGGTTCTAATCTGGTTTGATGAAACCACTATCTATACTTGGTGTTGTTCTACCTACTGGAGGGTCCTGGCTTTCAGTAGTGATTTCCCACACACAGTACTATGATGATCAGTTCTACAGTATTTACTTCTAGGTGTAATATTGTTAATGGTTTTAAAATGTAATTATTGTATTTGTAAACTGTACCTTCATTCCAGTAAGGCACTTAGACACTTGAGTTTTAGTATTTTCCATTCCTGAAACGGATGTAATTTAAATTGTGGTATGTAAATTTAATAGTAGTACTGTTGAATGGCACAATGCTTACAGAGATAGAGTGCATTTTGTCAATATATAAAATTTAAATATAATGTTGATAGTTATTATAAAGGGGGTTGCCACACATCAAGAACCTTAAATGGAACCAGAAGAAAAAAAAATTTACTTTTCTTCACTCCTTACTATGTTTTCCTCTAGTGCTAAAGAAAACTTCTAGCTTCAGGTTAGTGGGTTAAATCCAGAAACTATTTCAGAAAAAAAAAAAAAGATTCTAAAGTTACAGCATATTCAAAGAGAAGCATTAATTACCACTTTTTAAAAAGCTTTTTTTTCAAACTGCAAATTTCATAAAAATGCAAACTGTGTAAACAGGGCCTCTTATTTTTATAACTTGTGTAAAAAGGGAAAAGCAATTCATATTTAAAGTTTAAGTATATTAAATTATATCCAAGAGTGCAGAGGATGTTGAAATTTTACCTGACCCCAATTCCCTTCTTTGCAGTTTAGCAAATGTGGAGATTGTTAAACCATCAGATCAAAGCCAACATAATTCTTAAAGTTTGAAGATTTTCTGTAGCCGAACTGGTTTATACTTTTTGCACAATTGCTCAGAGCAGAGGGACCTTTCTCAACCAGCAGCCAGGAGTACCCTGTTTCCTCTTTACTTACAAGAATCCAAACACTGAGAGTAAGGACCTTAGAGGGAAAAGAAAAAAAAAATAGTTCAAATAGTTCCCTATTTTGATTCAAAAGGAGAATTTTAAACTTATCATTTACATTTACGTCTCTGGGGAAGGCAGAAATACGCTTTATAAATGAAATTCTATTTACCTTGTTGTCCTATGAATATTTTTGAATGATTTTAAGATTCATCATATAAAAGTATGAATCTTTGCCGTTCTTGGGGAATGGAAAGCAGAGTCATGGCAGTGGCATTGCAACTCAATAAATCCCACAGTTCTGGGGTGGGGAGCAGGGTGGCCCCACAGGATGGAAATTGGAGCATTGTCCTGTGAGGTCTAAAGATGAAGTCTTCCAGTAAGTCACAAGTTATTTTCAACAGAAAACAATTCCTGTTCGAGGCTATCCCATTAAATAACTGCAATTGACTTGAGGGTGTGTAGCATTCGATGCTGACTTTCGTTCTGAATTCACTCAAACTTGACACAGATCTGAATTCAGCTCCTTTCAATTCTAGAATCAGACTAAATTTTTAAGTCTTGCTTCAACAATGAGATTGTTGGTAGCCTTGCACATTAATCTGTGTTCTCTTCAATCAATGCTTGCTACCAAACGAATGTCCAAGATGATCCACCTGGGAATAATTCCTACTGTTTAAAACAGACTCTTGCCCAGTTCCCCAAAGCAGCCTGGCTTTGAAGGGCTTTTTCTTTTTCTTTCTTCATTCTTCCTTTTTCTTTTCTTTTTTTTTTTTTAACAACAAACTAATTTGTTCATAATAAGTTTGGTTTTGAAACCAAAATAGAGAAATAAAATGTAAAACAAATCTCATGGAACATGGGGAAATGAAAACTTAAGCCAATGGAGAATAAGAAGCAGGAAGATGAAACTTATCTAAAATGTGATTATACAATGTTTTTAAGTAGTCAATCCATGGAGAAATACTGAAAATTAATACAAAAGCATATTAAAATGTGTAAATATTACTGTTTCTCACGTCTTCTCTTTATCTTATTTTATATAGCTTTAGAATGAATTGGTCCTTACATTCATGGTGTTTCTTTCCAAAGAAGAATTTTATTGATATTGTAAAAATGTAATTAAAGATAGAGATTAGAACAGTCTCTAACATTATTCAAATGTTTCCAGGAATCAAAATCAAAACTATGAAGAAATCCTGTTGTTCCTTAATTGACTTTTGTGAGATGGAATGGCAGTTAGTGATCTCAAAATTAAAACTTGAGTAATGAGAGCTTCAGTGGAGAAATGGGTAGTGCCTTCCGGTTCAGAAACTGGTCAAATAGCATATGCCCATACCGGGGATGGAGACGCCGGTGCTCTGACTGGTTTTCTGTAGGCTTTCCTCTCCTCTCAGAGCTGTATCTGTAGCACTGTGGGGTAGGGATTTGTGTTCTGAGACATGGTCCTAATTGAGGCAAGGTTTCAGTCATCAATGTTCAGTCAGGTTCCCTTTTGTCTAAACACAATGGGTTAGATCATAGCTAGATGGTTTGCAGGACAGTAAGCTAAAATAAGACCAAGTTCTTAGGAAACAAACCAGAGAGCTGTTTCCTAAACACTCTGATTTTTAAAGCTGGTAGAAAGTCTGAATGTTTTATTTTGGTGACATGGAAAGTATGTTTTCCTCTTCAAATAAATCCCTTATTTTTATGAAATTTAAAAAAATAAATTATTGTTTAAATTAGTCTGAATTTTATCATAAGTGGACCTTTCAACTACTAATTTACTACTTTAGGTGATATACCTGCTAAAATGACAACTCCCTGTGTGATATTTGGGACACAGTTTACCAATAAAGGAAGATTGCCCATGTGCAAAGGGTTTCGAGTGACTGGAAAAGGGCAGACAAGAGTGCTTTTTGACTATTGTATAGACTTCTTCTCACTCCCAGTCCGCAAAGCATCAGACCCATAGTTATGCATATTTCCACTTTCAATCCTCCTTTTGAAGGAAGCCTGCCTACCTTCACTCGACCATTGATGCCTGCTGTTTGAACTCAGATGAGCCCCGCCCTCTTCTCACCTTTAGGATGCAAGTTTTCAAGCTTTTCTTAGTGAAACTTTTATTTTTCTAATAAAATTGTGCCGGGAATCCTATAAAGCAAAGTGTTGCCCAGCACTGAGGGGCTTCTCCAGATGCTAAGATGTAGCCTCATCATATGTAAAGGACTCCAAAGTATCTTCTGACTCTGGAGACTGACAGCTCTACTTCACCCAAGTAAAACACCTTTCAAGACTGTAGGAACATGTGTATTCACAGTGGTTAATTGCTACACAGTAAACATAGCTGTACAGCAAGTGTTCCCCAGTGGTCAGCCACTAGATAGCTCTTCATTCAACATCTATTTTTTTAAAAAATGGTAAAAATGCTTTTCAGTCCATGTTTTCACAATAATGGTTTTGAGGCTTACTTAGGCTGATTAATTTCCCAAAAGTGACTCCCCAGGACTCAAAGGACCCCAATTAACTCGACAACAGAACAAGTACCTTGCTATTTAATTTAGGTCGTTTGGGGGGAGTAATCAAGTTGAATGTCAAGATAAAAGACACTGTGAAAAGTTTGCATGGAAAGGATTACAGATGGGTGGACCTGATAGGATGTTATTTTAAAAGAAATGAGGTCTCTCAGAGGATGGCATGTGGGACACCTTGTTTCCATACAGTAGAAGAGTATCATCTAAATTGGGGCCCTGGTATAGTCTCAGAACCAAACAGACTGCAATGGGTAAAAGCAAGTCTTTTATAAATCTCTAGGGATGGAACCTGGGGATATGTTTATTGATAAGCATTCCAAATCTGAGCATCATGGCCTGATACATCACTAGGGCCCTTTTTACTGTACACATTATAGCACACTTATGTGTTATTAATTTCAAAACTAATTCCATTTGTCCAGTGTTTTCCCCCAATTCAGTCTAATACTAGCTGCAAGGGACACTCAGACCACTGGCCTGAAAACTGGCTTTGCTTCATAGATTCTCATTACAAAAAGAATTTTACCAATTTTTGCTATGATTTTTGCCTTTTCTCAAAGCAATTACAGGATGTAAATGAATGTAGAATGATAGTAAAATATGCAAATATCCACTAGAGAGGTAAGGGTGAGTTTGTGTGTGTGTGTGTGTGTGTGTGTGAGAGAGAGAGAGAGAGAGAGAGAGAGAGAGAGAGCTTTTTCTTCCCCCAGAATCATGGTCAGTCAAAATGTGTACTTTTTCTGTTTGGCAGCTACTAAAAATTGAAAGCAAGATTTTCAGCAATATCAAAGAGGGCTCAGAATAAATGTAACATAAGGAAATGTGATATTCTCGTGAAGCCCCCAGGGTGTTCTCACCAACCAATGAGTCAAATTGTTCCTATAAATAAATAAATCAGACCAAGTAACACCAATTAAGGAGACTCTTCTGATGAACCTCTCTATTGTGCTCACTACGCAAATTTCTCTCTTGAGCTATGTTGGACTTTCCCTACTCCTTTAGCCTGCTGTTTTATGTTGTGTTGGCTTCATATGTTCATTTGGCAAACAATGGAGAAAGCCATTCTCTCTCTAATGAATTAAATATGGCTTCTCTCATGTTTCATGTTAAACCACAGAACAACGAGGAGAAGTGAGACAGGAGAGCATCCCTTATGTCTCCAAACATTAAACAGAAACAAAGAGAAAGCACTGGATGTTCTCAGCCATCACAACTCTGGGGCTGTGTTATCTCCAGCAAGGCAGAATTGCATTGTTAGGATCCAATTGAAATAAAATTCCTTCTTGAAGGACTGTCAGGTTTTAGGATCAGTTGAGATGATGAGTAAGGCTGGCCTTTTTGATTGGTCACAGGTTTATTTTCTGCTTTCTCTCCTAAGTGGGCAGTGCAGCATGAAAAAGACAGCTTGTTGACATGTGTCATTCGTATGATAATTTATTCTCTTAACTTCTGATTTCCTTTCTTTATTCCTGGCGTACATTGCCTTGCTAAATACATCTTTAGCCTCATTTTAAAAAAAATAGTGTTAAACCAA